TTGTAGCTACAAAAGACGTTTCTTGCTGTAACACAGCTACAGCTTTCCTTTGATCCACTAAAACCACAGAAGCAGAGAGATGACAGGCCTGGTGCAGTGAAAGCTTTTAAATGCTGTTGTTCCTGCAGGTGTTTGGATAGTCGTTTTCCCCTGGGTGCGTGGCGGAATAGAGCAGTATTGTAACCAAAGTTGAGAATAAATGGACAGAAAATTGAGGGTGACATCTTGGTCTATGTAGAGGACAAATGGAAAAGCATTTAGAGCCAGAAAACAGATATAAGAAAACATTTAGACCACCAAACTGAAGCCTCTGGAGGAAGCTGCAGCCAGACAGACTGGACGTCACTGAGTGCATCCAGAGGGCCTCTTTCTCACTCTGTGTGGGGCTTACGAAGCTTTTGTTCACCTCTGACCTCTGACCCGCACCCACCTGATAGCTCCCCTGTCACTAACCTGGATTTCCTGTCTATCTAGAGCCACAGTGCGTCACTCCGCTCTGTGTTTGTTGTTCCTGAGATCACATCAGCACTTTAAACCCCCATGCAGAGCAATATCTCATCTTTCCCCAATTTCTTTTTGGCTTTGTTTTCTTGCTCTCTCAGTGCACATGGTGTGCATTGACCAGGGCTGTAGCTTGTGGGTGTGGGTCCCCCCTTTTTTTGTCCTGAGAAATCCTCAGCTCAGCCAAGACCTGAGGCGGTCACTGACAGGAACGTCTTGTTGACTTAACTTTGACTTTCTTTTATTTCCCGGCTCCCCTGCCCCTCCTGCGTGGGAGACAGATAGGAAGAAATGAAAGTGGCTACTAGTCCTGCCATCAACATCTCATCTAACTTTGAGCAAGAGCGAAAAGCCAAGGCCCAATGACAGTCACAGCTTTCTCCCCCGTCCCATTCAGGCCGGTTGTAGCCCATTTCCATTTACTGATAGGAACAGCGCAGGGCAGCACAGTGTGACACTAATGGTACAGCTTTATCTCAAGAGACAGAGAGTGAATTTACATCTAGGAGCAGGATGAAAAAACGCTGGCTTAGGTAGACAGGATAAGGGAATGAGTTTTTGAGGCACTAGTTTCAACATGACCACTTGAAAGCACTGAAGGACAATGCTGGAGCTTGTGATCTCGGTCCAAAATTTTATTTCAACTCTGAAAATAGCTTTTCGTACGGCCCCTCGAAGATGCAACATGAGGCCACGCGGAAGGTAGCGGTGTTTTTGAATGGTAGTAACTTTGCCCGGAGCCAGTCTGGGCTGGTTCTCAATAAAGACGAAGAAAAAGAGACGATGGAGAGAAGGTGCCAGCGTGTAGCCAAAGTCCTGACAACTTGGAAGCTGCTAAAGGCAACTGAGATTCTCTTGTGCTTCGTTAGGGCGATGTGAAAGGAGTGTTCAGAGAGTAGGGGAAAAAAAAAAGAAAGGCTGTATGCTTTTTATTTGTCATGGTTGTGTGTGTGTGCTTCTTCTATCTCCTCTACAAAGTTTGTTTACCACTGGTGTATATGCTGATCCAGTTGACCGTCCCTTTCCGTCATTTTCACTTTGTACTCACTCGTCATGTCTTTGTCCTCAGATTCACCTTGGCGGTGCCTTATCAATGCACCCGTTGTTATTTGGAGGCAGATAATATAGTGACATGCATTTGCTTTCAAACCATGAATCATCTTCCGGAGCCAGTTTTTTTTTTTTCTGGGAAGAAAACAAAAGTCTTTGTCTGTTTCTTGATGTGGGATGGTGCTACATCTCAACAGGGCAATTACCTTCGCTGGCGAAAGCCGTCTTGCCTGTCATAATGATACACGAGACGTAAGTACACTACTGGAGCAACAACATTGGCTTGACCATAATGAGACAGCAACGCTATACTTAGGCGTGTTTGGCGCAAACAGGGCATTACTACCTTGCGTTCCCTGCCATGAGTATGCAAACCGACGTCAACAAGAGTTCACGGATTTTGTAACTTGTTTTGGCTTCTCAAAATAGACCCCTGTTTCTCATCCCATTCAACCGTCCAGGTTTTTTTTTCGTTATAACCGACCTGTTTGCCACCTGTTGAAGGCTGTTTCCAGTGAAAGGCTGGATAAATAGAGAGAGACACCAAAGGGTGGGGAGGGGTTTCAGCAGGGAAGATGGGAAGGAGCGAGCCTCAGCAGCAACTTAATGCTATTCATTCTTAGTGAATAATGGCCAACAAAGACACTATCAGCATGTATTCCCCTCTCTCTGCTACCCTCCACAGAACCAATTGAACTGCTGCCAGACCCGACCAGTCTATTTCTCACTCTCGGAGCCATCTTCTTGTCTCCTCGGAGCTGAGTTATGGCCAGCTCGCCACTCTTTAAACAGATTTATACCTACTCACTTGTTGAGGTATTAACTTAGTAGTAGGTGGTGACTGAAGGCAGTCAAGCAGCTGTTTAGATGAAGGAGTTGAGTGCATTTTATTTTTTTTTGTGTGTGTGGCGGGGATAAATAATAAAGAAGCACACAACGGGGAAGGATTTCTTCTGAAAGCGCGTGTTTTGAAGCTTTTTAGGCCTCATCTTTGTTTTCTTTAGCTTCTTTGCTGAATGCAGAGGGAGGACTGGGGGAGGAGAAGGGAAGGGGGTTGCAAGAATGTTTGAGTCACACAGAAAAGAGGGATGATATGTGGAGTTTGACAGGGGAGGCTGGGATAAAGAGGAGGGCACAGGAGTGGGAGGAGCCCTGAAGGAATGCCTGGAAGGTGTCAGCAAAGTCTGGGAGGCTTTGGACTGATAATCCTCTGCATCACAATACAATACCCTCACCCTTAAATGAACTTGATGCGGGTCTGAGGATGAACAAGCATATGCTCCACTGAGGGGTAATAGCCTGTCAGGACCCATAAAGTGTAGTTACTTCTCTACTGCTTTCAAAATGTCACTCCTCCTTGGCACCTCAGCCTTTTCTCACCGTGGCCTTTGGTACCTAAGCACGGCCCCCGGAGACTCATCCCTCCCCCCCCACCCATTGAGGAGTGTGGTTCAAGTGATTTGTCAGACAACAGCAGCTCTTAGATGTGCCAAAAGCTTTGCTTTATAGACAGAACAGTCAAACAGTTCTCGTACATGCGAGGCTGACTCTCGGTGGACCTCCGTGACTCAGCCTGGCTGAAAGCTACAGCATTCTTCGCAGTGGTCTTTTGTTTGCATGATTTAATTCATCAAATTAATGCAATTAATCCCAGACGTCTATTTTTGGAACATCTGCTTTTTACCATGTGCACACTGGTTATTAGGCTGCTGTGACTGCATGTCCTCATTAGCTTTGTCCAGAATGCACACTGACGTAGAATCGAGGAAAAGTAAACGCAGCGATGACGGAGGTAATTGTTGACGATGCTGCTGAGTCATGGCTTCGGAGCTCCGTAACTACAAGGACTTTTAAAAACTGATTTAGTTAATGGACATTTTTGCCACAGAATCTCTTGACAGACATTGGTTTCGGTACTTCTCATGTCCTTTGCTCATCTGAGGAAACTGAGTAAATAAGAGAAAGTAGCCGTTTCTTTCACAGAAATGAAGCAGCTGTGCCATACTAACAAAAAAAAGTTGTAAAATTTAGATTTGAATTGGAACCTGGCTGATATGTTGATGTTATCATGCTTATCATAAGTACTCTGGTATTGCTGTTGACTCATGAGTAACAATAAAATGGCAGCGTGGGAGTGTTCAAGGTATATGATTAACAGCGATGTCATGGTTTATCCACCGGCGTGCGTTGACACAAGCTGTAAAATAGCTCGCTCAGGACGAATCTAGGTCACGGTTCGTTAAAAACAAACTCACGGATTACTCATCAAAACATATATGTGAAAGAAACTAACCGCCGATGTGTTGTTTTCAGAGGTATTTTGATGTTCACCTTAAAAATCCAGCGTTGGCTGCAGATTAATAGTTAACACGGACTTGAAGAACTTTATTAAACATGTCTGTACCCTCTAAAAAATGTATCATAGCTAGTTTTACGCATGAAGATGTTAATTTTGTCTGGAGGATGATAACAGCAGACTTATTTATATAATTTTGCTAATCAGAATCATTTATTATCATCTGCAGGCTAATGCATCATTTTTTTAACCATCTGAGCCTCTACTTGATGTCTGCTTGTTATCAAGTCCAGTTTTCAGTTCTGGGGCGATGGTAAGGGAAAGTAGGGGGGGAAAAAAAAGAGAGGCTACTGGTTAAAATTTAAGATTGAGGGAGATAGCGACAGGACAGATGCTAATAGAGAGCAGGGTCTGGCTCCTGCTGAGGGGCTCCCACACATCCCATTGGTCACGCATGTCTTGGCTCTGTGAGTTTGTTATGGGATGGTGGCCGTGGAGACAGGCGCACAGCTCAGGATTGTGGCATTGTTTTATACATAATTGTTGGAACACTTTCCTTTTTTGTTTTTTTTGTTTTTTTTAGCACATAATCACTGTTATCTGTACCAGAGCGGTCAGGCTTAATTGCCTCCATCACCTATTTTCCCACAGGGCGTTGTCCAACTCACACACACACTCTCTCCAGTCGCACCTGGTCGGCCTGGACTATGACCTCATTCCAGGAAAAGGAAGAGAAAATCACCTGACAGGCTCATTTGTGTAATCAGCTGTTCGTATAGCTGCAGGGCAGAGGGTGGATGTCTCATGCCTCAGGTTATTGATCGTGCAAACAGTAGAGACACGTATGTAAATACACATGCATGCAAAGAGTTTATTCTGCTTTTTGCCTCTTTTGAGTTCACTTGCAAGCAGTCTCTGTCACCGGGACACGGAGGGACGCAAGCAGAATAACCGAGGAAATTGATACCGAGAGAGAATGGCAAAGCAGAAAACACGCTTTCAACTACCTGAAAAGGGGGAGGTATCTGATCTGTCAGCACGGCAAGGAAGGGTGGGGAGAGAGAGAGACAGCCAGAGAGAGAAAGAGAGAGGAGTGACTGGGAGGGTGTGTTTCAGTGTGTGGGTGAGAGACACAGGGAAGAAGGAGGAGGGGTGTAGACAGAAAGAGAGAGAGAACTCTAGCAGTCTCTCAGATCTTGGCTGTGGTGAGGACACCCAGTTGGAAGTGCATTCCTGAGGCAGCCGGCGACGAAAAAACAGCAGAACAGCAGCGGAGGAGAAGTCGCGACATCCTTTAAATGTCTCCGTGACCACGTCTGAGTGCCTCTGACCTCCGCTGGACTCGCACGCTCCTCACCCACACACACACACACACACACACACACACACAGAAACACACACACACACGCTCGCTTGCTGCCTCTACACACCGGCCGCACAACCAAACCGGCTCCGCTGCACCGCGAGAAGTCCAGGATTTCCCCGAGTGAGGCAAGAGGAAATTTAAATCATTGAACAGAAGCAAAGGATCACCTCCATCGGTGAGTGCGAGGGCTTCTTCGGGGGGATCGTTTGAGTGTGTCCTTGCCGGTTTGAATGTCAGCATTAGGAAGTTTTCTCTGAAGTCAGCCGATCTGTCTGCGGCTTTGCTGTGTGTTCCAGCACGCATGTAATGAGATCCAGTAATAATAATACTAAGCGTCAGGTTGTGTGTGTATATTTTTCTGTGAGTGGCAGGGAAACAAAGAGCGTGTGTTGAGTTAAAAACCAAGCCTCCACATGTACCTGTTGTCGCTCGACCCGCCACCCAAGTCTTGTTGTGTGAGACAAAAGGACTCAAACCTGTTTGGGTGAAACTTCACTCTTTGTGCAGTTGTGTGGGGTTTTTTCGTTGTTATTTCTACGTTTTTCTGTTTGAAATTCTCCCATTCAGAGTCAGAAAAACAGCCTCCATGTGCATGTTTTTGTGTGAGACCTATGAGAAAAGTGGAGGCTATCTCTTTACACCGGTCTCCTGTCACACAGGCTGCTCCTTTTACCACCGTAGGATTAAAGATTAATTTATGGTGGACTTGGGCAGAGTTCAGCTCACTTGCTGCGTGTTCCTGCCACATTTAACTGCTAAAAAAAAATCTCAAATGCCGATACCGTGCAGGTCTGACACGCTGGAGCTCTTTAAGCAAGCCTGTTTAAACACCGGCTCATCATCATGCACGACCAGCATCTTATTTAAAGATTCCCCGTAGGGTTTGAACAATTGTCGGCCTTGACGATTATTGGATCTGATACTCAGCACTTTTGTGATTATCCATATTGTTTTTTTACCCCAATAAAATAAATTATTGATAAGCCACCCTAACATGAAAGTTTCTTTACCTTGTAAGCATGTCCATGTGGTGTTTTGTAGATGCTATGACACCCATCATGAGTGACATAAGCAGTCAGTGCCACGGCTGGGAATTTCTGCCTTGAAGCTACGGTGACAGGATCTTAAAAAACATAGATCCAGATTGCCAAGGTTTCAAACATAACAAACTTAAAGATCCAATCCTGTCAGCTTACAGCGTGGGGCTTTGTGTACCATGATTATTCCTAAGAATTACTTTCTGATTTTAACATTTCAGACTAAATTACTCCGTGTCATTGTGTAGGAGTTTTCCAGCAGAATTGTCAGCGAGCTGGCGTGCTTGGGCTGCAGTTAGCTGTGGAGAGGTGGGAGATGGGTCTTCAAGAGATCTGATTATTATCATGAAAAATAAACTTCTCGAAATATATGATTTGGATGCAGGAAGATGAGTTTTTTGTGGGTTTAATCACTCACCAGAGAGGAGTTTTAAGAATGTGCGTCATGAGTAATAGCCTGTCAGCATTTAAGGACAAACAGTGGGAAGTTTGCTTATAATTTAAACATAATCAATTACAGTGACATCCTGTGTTATTCTGAATTTTGACACCAAGGTTGTAGTTTCTTCTCCGAGCGTATCTGTTCCAAATATCGTGTATCATGAGCCCAATAATCAATATTGATATTGACCCTGAAAAACCAGTGGACCCTTAATTCCCAGCATGGTATATATCAGACAGTGGAGCTCATTAGCAGGCTGTATTTGTTATCCAATCAGGCTCATCGATTGAACCCTGGGATGTGATTTATTTTTTTTTATCCTGACTGGCTGGGAGAGCCACACAGCTACACCTCGTGTGTTATCTCTGTTTGTGTGTTTTTGCACAGTTAGCTTGCACCCAGAGAGATAACGCCAGCGTAATAAATGGTTGTGGCGAATGGAACCAAACGGAGAACTTTGATTCGTTTGAAACCGTTGGTTTAATTTGGCTCCAGTTGGTTCATTCATTACTTTTCGTTCATTTACTCGTGTAACTCGGAGCCAGCTGACCTTTGCACGCTTTGGTGCCGATACTGACTCTGCAAGTTATCACAGCTATGAAGTGTATTTATTACCTTCAGTAAAACGTAGGACTGTGTTTGCTTGAGTTCTTTTCTAGACACGGCAGACGAGTGCTAAATTCTTTTTTCTGAAGTACTGTAGATATTACAGCTTAAGCAGAAAACAGATGGCGGGGTGATGCCAGTAGCTGGAATGCATCATCAAACTTTAAACTTTCTTGTTTAGTTAGCACTTCTTTTCTCTCTACATCCCTTTGTGTCTCCCTCACCGGCTAGATATTTCTTATTTCCCATCACATGAATGAGCCTGTTTTGCATGGGGGAGAGCAGAGTGTCCTCCGAGAGTGGTTGTGCCTTGTTCTCCGCAATGTTATTTTTACTGCTCTTTCACTGCTTGAATACGCAGATGGACTCTCCTCTCTCCTCTTCTTCTAGAATAGTCTGTCTGTCTGTGTCACTGTCGGCGTGTCCGTCTATCACTCGGCACGCATGGCGAGGAAAGCGAGTCCGCCCGTGCGCTTCACGGTATCTCGTGGGACTCTCGATGGGAACTTTCTAAGTCCTCCTTCGTGCCGTGAAGTGACTTAATTTCTCGCCGTTCTTATCAGTAGTGTTCCTCCGCTTCCTGCAGATGCACTCAGGGGCCGGAGGTAATTGGAAACGTGATGACGGCGTGTTGGTGAAATAATATGTTTGCATGTTTGTGATTATTTTTAGGGACGGTGGTTTGAACCTCCTTCTCTCTCTCTTCCAGTGTGAGTGTCTTTCTTTCCCATGTGTTGCTCCCTCTACCTCACTTGCTCTGCCTTGTATTTTTTATTTTTTTTCTCTCGTGCGTCCTTCCCCCTGCCTGTGCAATGTGACGGAAGGTAGTGCTGTGCTCTGCTCATGTCGGATCCATTAGGGATGAAAGCACACTGCAGTGATAAAAGATTGATCCAGTCCTCCTTGCATCACATTCACATCCCTCACACCCTGCTCCCTCATCCTCTCACACCCCTTGCTTCCAATCCAAAGTCAACCCACTTCTTCAATTTATCAAATCATCTGTACTCCTCTAAATAAATCATCCTCACCAAGTTTACTATGGCAAACTTTTCCCCACAGGATTTCTCAAAGGAGAACATTCTGTTGTTCTTGCGTAGGATGCTGTAGTCAGCCTCTCGTACAAGGTTACAAGTTCTCAGTGATGCAAAGAAAATATTTTCCACCTTATGAAATTTTCTCGACAGTGCATTTTTGGGGGAAAAAAAAATTAAAAATGGGACAGTTCTTTTATAGTATCTCCTTCAGTGTTCTTGTTCTACCAGGAAGGGTAATATGTACTTGGCTAGCAGAACCAGTAAGAGACTGGCATCCAGCCCAGCACACACATGCCTCTTTTCACCTGTTTTATCTGAGGAGGCAAAGACAAACACAACAGACCTGTAGTTTGTCAGCTGACAGGCTATAATTACCGAGGAAGGAGGGGATTTGGAGGAGGAATTTCACCGTGTTTCTGTTTTTAAATCCTTAAGCACGTACCTTTTTATGAGCACCTGAAAACATTTTTCTTTGTGTGTGTGTGTGTGTGGGGGTGTGTGTGTGTGTTATAAAACTGCACAGAAATTTGCAGACTGATCATAAACGAGTCTTTAAGTCTTTTGATCCCAGCTGGAAGTTTGAGAGATCTCCCTCAGGGAACGGTTTGTTACCAACTGTTCGACATTGTGGTTTTTCCTTTTTTTTGTCTTCAGTCCTCCTTTTTAGGGAATCCTATTGAAATAGTTTGAGGTCATTCTGAATGCCACACATATCCTTAGCCTGAGTCTCTCTTCATTCATCCAGCATGTGCGGGTCAGAGGTCACATTAAGCCACCTACTCTCAGAATGTCCACGCAGAGCTCAGTCCACCTAAAGACATGTTCCCGACTGAGTCCAGCTGACCGTAAAGTTCACCTGAGTGAACGCTGTCATGTCCTGTCAGCGTGAACTTCTAGTAGCCTTCAACGGGGCTTGCTGTGCGACATCCACGAGTCACATTCCATGTAATAACACTCTGAAACCGGTGGCAGGTTACTGTTGCCGGACGCCTCTGTTTGCCTCTCTTTCCGTGACTCTACAGTTCTACCATGTGCAGCGATTGTAGCATGGTAAACATCTCCGACCCCCTGGGATGCTCATGTGACTTTGTGTTCGCCTCTGTGGATGCGAGTGTGCAGCAGGTTGCTCCCTTTGCTCAACCAGCCATGCTGTGTTGACTCTGCACACAGCGCTCTCTGGGCAGTAAATAACACGGTGCCTCCGCCGAGGGAACCGGACGGGGCCGGGAGGGGGGTCAAGACGCCAGCAAGAAAGAGAAAATGTCTGCCTCTGGGTTCGGAGATACTAAATCAACAGATGGGAGAGGAGGGAGGCAGGTGGATCTGACAGAGCCGTCCCTCATGCTGAGAGGCTTGACGCTAGACCTGTCGCTGAATGTAGATGCGTTTGATCGAGCGCGTTACAAGCAAAACAAGCCGACGTTGCTCACGGGGAGACGGGGGCTACTGGTACGCAAATGCACACTGATGAGCAGAAATGCACATATCAAAATCACATTGCTTAACTTTTGGGTCTCTACTACAGGATTTGCCCAAAAATATTAAAGTATCAGTGATTATAAATCAAATTGCTGCTGTTTTGATACGGTCAGGATTCAGGGTAATTGTGGTAAGTTTTTTTTAGACATTTCTTAGGGGAAGGTTCTCATCAAATGAACAGAATTAGGTGAGCCTGTTCCTCCAAATGTAGGTATCGGTGAATCTTTTACACAGCCCTAGTGAGCTGCCACACATACAGGCGTCTTTCACTGCTGAGTCTTTATCACGTGTACAGTTTAGACTAGCACGCTTCCCGTAACTCAGTGACAAAGAGACCGAAACGGCCACTTTTTAAATTTTTTTCTTATCTATAGAGATATACAGATAAGCCATATTTTCAGTATCAGATTCCCCCCTTTTCCTTTGTGGGTTAAGTGCAATGCAAACTTTGACTCATATCTGGGCGCCGCTCCAAGATGCACTGAGTTCCCTGAGTGTCTTGGCAGAGTAAAACCTGGATCCCCCCCCCTCAGATGTTGAAATGTTGTTCATAGTTTCATTTGGACATAACTCA